ATATATATATATATATATATATATATATATATATATATATATATATATATATATATATATATATATATATATATATATATATATATATATATATATATATATATATAAATTAATCAACTCAACACATAACGTAACGTTTCGACTTTATTGTCTTCATCAAGATATATATATATATATATGGAACTAATTAGAAAAGACAAAGAGAAATTCCGCTCCGCGCAGAAAATTCCGCCTGGTGGAAAACGGTCTTAAGATAGTCATAAAGTTTGTCACTGAACAGCAGGAATAACAGATAATTACTTGGATCATTTTCAGCACCACTTTTGGCAATGCCCTCCCTACACCTTCCAAATTCTGCCATCCTACACCTTCCAAATTCTGCCATCTGCAATCCTTTATGCCCTGCCTACACCTTCCAAATTCCCCCCTATTGCAGGGCACGGTATGCAGAAACACTGGTATAATCCCTGTCGTTAGCGCTAATACTCGCAAGATCCCTGTGAGAATTACTAACAACCGTACAAAAACCGTCGTTAACTACATTAATAATCATAGACAACTGAAATTAGTCAGTACTTCAATACATGACCAGGCTATGAACCGAAACAACATATCAAGATTACCGAGTTTTCTTCTTATAAATGCTCGTTCACTATAACCCAAAATAGACGAGCTATCCCTCTTACTATCAATACATTCTATAGAGTTTATTGCTGTAACTGAAACGTGGCTCAAAGATACTGTTTCTGAGCAACTAATTTACATAAATAATTACAACATTTTTCGCAATGATAGATCTTACAGCCGTGGTGGGGGTGTCTGCGCTTTCATCTCGACAAATATTCCAGCTAAAAGAAGAATGGACCTTGAAAACCCCTCTCATGAATGCTTATGGTTATGGCTACGACCCCACCGCCTCCCAAGACACCTAACTGGATTAATCTGCTGTGTCCTATATAACCCGCCTGATACACTAGTCAATGAGCAACGGCCTATCTTATCGATCAGATTGACCGAGTTAGATGTACCCAACCCGACTGCGGTGTTGTCATACTCGGTGATTTCAACAATTTAGATATCAGCGATCTCCTGTGCCATCACAATCTTACGCAAATAGTGGACACCCCAACGCGTGAAGGTAACATCTTGGATCTAATTGTTACTAATCTAGAAGCCTTGTATTCTAAGCCTGTGATTATAGCACCGCTCGGCTCATCAGATCACAACATTGTTAAATGGTCTGCGAAAACTAACGTTTTAAGAACAGATAATAAAACAATTAAGAAAAACATACGTTCCTTCCGCATGTCGGCACGTGCAGCTTTTGGAAGATGGTGCTGCTCACGTGAGTGGTTCTCTGATGCCGAAAGCAAAAACTCTGCGACCGCTCTAGCGTCCTCCTTTACCAACGAGTTAAATTCTGCTGTTGATAGGTTATTCCCGTCTAAGGTTATTAGAATTCATAACTCTGACAAACCATGGATGACGCCTGTATTAAAAAAACTGATTTATCAAAGGCAAAAAGCCTTTCATTCTGGTAACCTTGACCTCTGGCGTCACTATAGACTTAAAGTCCGAAACGACATAGGAGTGAAAAAGCGTGCATATTATACGAACAAGGTACAACACCTAAAATCCAGTGACTCCAGAAAATGGTGGGACTGTGTTAACCAGATGTCCGGGAAAAAAAGATCTGCAACCAATAACATTAAGATCGTTAAGAATGGTACCACTCTATCTGGTAAAGATCTCGCCCAATCACTTAACACCTATTTCTTAAGCGTGAGTAATGACCTTCCACCACTGAATCCTCTCCTGCTACCTGCCTTTCTCCCTACACCAAGGCCTGTACCAAAACGTTTCCCTCACGAAGTTTGCACTAAGATGCTCAATACAAAAGTTTTCAAATCCAGCGGTCCTGACAATATTCCTAACCGGATTATTAAGGATTTCGCTTACGAATTGGCCGAACCTGTATGTCACATCTTTAATACATCTCTGTCCACTGGTGAATTCCCTAACATATGGAAAGATGCATTAATTACACCAATTCCTAAAGCGCCATCCGTATCCTGTGAGGAGGAGTTGCGCCCAATCTCCCTTACAGCCTTTTTGTCCAAAATTCTTGAGGACTTTGTGGTCAATTGGATGGTGGATGACGTGAAACATAAAATCAACCCGCAACAATTTGGTTGCGTTAAAGGAACCTCTACAACGTTTTGCTTGATCGATATGATCAACAATTGGCTGAGAACATTGGATGATAAATCGAGCTATCTGCGGATCGTTTTCCTCGATTTCAGTAAAGCGTTCGACTGCATCGACCATAATATCCTGGTCCCAAAGTTGCTGGCCCTTGGCGTCAGATTGTCGCTTATTTCATGGATATGCAGCTTTCTCTCAAATCGCCGTCAATCGGTAAAGATCGACAATTTCCAATCTGATTGGGGCATCAATAACGCAGGTGTCCCTCAAGGAACCAAATTGGGCCCTATTTTGTTCATAATTATGATCAACGATCTTGAACTGGCATCCTCTAGCACTGACCATTGGAAATACGTGGATGACGTAACAATATCGGAGTCCTTAAAGAAAAATGAAGTTTCAGTCCTACAATCTGATCTTAACACAATTGAAAGATGGACTGTTAATAACAACATGAAATTGAATGGAAAGAAATGATAGTGAGTTTCGTCCGTAGCGAGAATGACATCCCCCGACTCCTCATTGATGGTTTACCTCTAGACTTAGTTCCTTCTTTCAAAATTTTGGGCTTAACCATGAGCAATAAATTGAAATGGCAAGATAACACTGAAGCGTTAGTTAAAAAAGGCTCAAAACGCTTATACATTATTCGTGTCCTACAGCGCTGTGGTCTTCCCCCCAATGACCTCTTACTAGTCTACTTTTCTATGGTGCGCTCTATCTTAGAATATGCCTGTCCTGTCTGGCACACCATGTTACCAAAGTGTTTGGGGGATAAAATTGAAAAAGTTCAAAAAAGAGCTTTCCGTATTATTTATCCGACAACAGATTACGAAGATGCTCTCAACATCGCTAAATGCAAGCGCCTTGTCGACAGACGTCAAGAGCTATGTGCTAAAACATTCAAAAAGATCTTAAAACCCGATGCTCATCTCAACCACCTCTTACCCCCACTCCGTGAAGAATCCCATGAACTGGACTTAAGAAACAATTCTAACTTCACATTAACTAAATACAGAACGGAACGTTTTAAAACTAGTTTTATACCAGCAATGACTGCTAATTTTAATAGTAAATAATTTGTAGTATTTTAACAACTGTACATATACGATATATTTATATTTATATTATTTGATATTCATCTTTTATTATGTTTCTGTAAGCATATTGCAATTCACCTTCGGGTGCCAAAATGTGTTTCTTAATAAACCTTTAACAAAAATAATTTGGCATATATTAACGCTGTTCTTTTCGCTCTTCGTATACCGCTTTCTAAAACTGTCGCGATATGCCAAGCGCGTACTTTAGTTTAATTGGAAATGAACGAGCGCGCGCAGAATCTCAAAGCACGCAAAAACAACTACGCAAGATGAACATTTGTAATAAACCGTCAAGTCTTTGAAAATGGTTTCCGTGGAGGAAACCGACACATTAGACAAATATAGCCTGCGAACAGGCTCACTGGGACAAAATAAAATAACAGGGCCGTAAATATTGTTGTATATATAGAGAATAATACATGGGTGCGCGAAATACCAGATTTATTTCGAGTGTTGAACATCATTTCTCACGAGTAAGCGCACCGAACGAGTGAGATATCATGTTCAACACGAGAAATAAATCTGGTATTTCGAAGCACCCATGTATTTTCTGTTTATTATATAAAGGACAGTCTTTGAAAAGCGATAAATTTTACAGAAAAGCGATAATTGAAAAGCGATAATTTTCACATGTGAGATTATCATGAATAATCTCACATGTGAGATTATCACTTTTATCAGTGCTCGAAATCTCTATAAAGCACTATACTTTATATAATAAAATTAAATAATCTAGAAGAACAATACAAATAAATTAATAAACCTGGATTCAAACCCTTCAACGAGTTATGAAATGTTGTTGGGATTCAATAATTTGCCGACTACCTGCATGATGACTGGGGGTGTGTGTTCCACCCCCTCCCCCCTCCTAGCACCGTCCCTATAGACAATTGTAGTTGTAACTCGCGTTTATAGCGAACTGTCGACTGCCAAATTTTTGCTGCATTGCTATATCACATTATACAACGCTAACGGCTAGAAAATTTCACTCAAATATATGTAAGTTTTGCTAGTCGTGTTTGAGGTAAAGTCTTCCATTTTAAAGAAAGATAAATACAATATTTTGCACCCGAACTCCACTTTACTTATGTAGCGCGGCCGCGCCATGTTTGTTTTGTTTTGAAGCAATCTGTGTCCGTTACTTGACGACTGCTTTAAGATGATTGGTTGATTTTAGATCCCATTGTTTTTTTTCCACCAATCAGATCAGTTTGTTACTATTTTCGTCTTCCGTATTGTCCAAAAACAGAGAACGGATTGTCTATTTTTCTTTTCCGATTATATACGCACGCATTAGAAAAAATCGATTTCGGCAGTTGAAATTTCCTTCGTGATCAATTATCAGTCGGACGTAATGGTGGAGGCAAAAGTCGAACAAGATGGAGGCCTTAGAAGTTGACTGGGTTGGATATTTTCTTATTGACGAGGACCTGGCTATGGCAATCCAAAACTGTCATTCTGATCTTTTTGCAGGCTACAATGTAGTTTGCGTAGTTTAAAAACACTGCACAAAATCCCCGAGTACTTTGACTCAAAAGCTTGAGTAAAATATAATGCACCCACAGTGATTCACAATATTGAGTAAAATTTTCTCCAATTTTCAGTAAAGTTTCAAATTCACTTCACGTTTTGAGTAGAATTCGCTTTATACCCCCAAAATGAGTAAATTTGCTCATAAAAAGAAGAGCGGCAAACGTAGTATACACATGCATACTGTAGAACTAAATTAAATAAAGTGAATTAACCCTCGTCTTTGAGTCAACTAAAAAGGTTTACATCCATAAACCCTGATAAAAAAGTTACTCCATGAAATAGTTGCCCTTCATATCAAAATTATTTTCGTGCTTGGTGATTAAACTACATATAGACATGCATCTCCAAGTTTCACTTAATTTACCTATATCTCTCTATAATTGTTTTGTTTAATATTGTAGGAACACCACCATATCTATATATTATTATAAATTCGATCCACATAGGCCCGAACCCGTCATCAGTGGACGTAATTATGTCTTCATGACGTATTCATATGTCTTTCCAAAACAACTTTGCATGACGACAGATTTTAGATACGCCGCAGATAAACTGCAAACTATGATATATATAACATTACAAAAACGACTAAACGGTCAGTTATCACCGGAGAGTATCGGGGAGCAACGGATTCGCTATATTCAACATGTAAAAGCAAAATAGCCCAGCGGAATGGCATGCGGAAAGATAAAAATGTGTGCCATTTTTGGGGACATTTTTAATCAGTATATATTGTTGCTGAATTTTTGAATTTGTACTTTGTAGGGTCTCTGGGACGTCATTTCGCCTTGTCTGAGGGCTATGGTTTGCTAATTCATGATACTTTACGCAAATCTTATCTATCAGAAAAAGGGTACAACAATATTTAATATAGTCTTTATTGTCTTTTCGCATTTTTACGGGAGCGAGTTAAATCAAGAGTTGAAGGTGGTCGTGGAAAAAAGTGGGTGTGGTTTAGGCATGCCCATGAGTCTTTTATAACACTCCGATATCTCTCTCGTGATAACTGTCTGCTTTTTGTCCTGCAGTATATCGATCCAGTATTACACATTACTTTGAGTCAAGTGCTTGTTTGTTTTTTTATCCAGTTTCTTATATTTTGGATCTTTTTTAATTAAAATCGCCTTTTCAGTCAAACCGTTCATGCAATTTAATCTTGGTTGTATGAAAGACAGATCTTGATTGTATGAAAGACAGACATATCAAACTTTCGCAATACTATCACGAACATTTGAGTCAACTTGTGTCCAGTGCCCCTCGCACAGTGAATGACGCGCAACATGACACTTAATATATGTAAACAAGATGGCGCAAAGACCTAAGCGAGCTTTGTCTCAGCCCTGGTGTCAGCCGATACTTTTTCCCGAAGAGTACAGTGATTACACTCCGAGGCCTTCGACCAAATTCTCCAAAAAGTCCGCAAAGGATAATAATCTTAATTAACAAATCCAGCTTATCAGTTTCAAGTTCATTATAGTATATAGTTACACTATATGACGAGTTTTTCCATGTATTTAAAAGCCGTTTGACTGGGTTTCCACCTTTAGCACGTTTGAAAGCAGCGTGAAGAGAAATGATAGTTTGACCTGAATGCTTGAACTAAGCGTCTGCTAAGCGTGACACTCCGTATGCCACTATTCAGAAGCATGTTTAATATTGACAATAAATGGCTAACCAAGATGAAGAGGCATACGAAACGTTTGGCCTTCCTGAATATTGTCGCTTGTATTCTGTTGACAATTTGTAAATCAAGAAACCGCACGGTATAAATCAGAAAGATACAAATTAGTAAACAGAATTTCCCAAAACCTCAATTAATAAAGACTACTGTACAACTCACTTGCTTATTTGGTGCACAAACGAAGGCAGAGACTGACTCTGAATCAGAGATTCCCCTTCTATATCATCGGCTGCAGCAACAACCACTTGAATACATAATGAGCAGCCAAACAATATTCAAACCCACATCTTTGCGCACATTTTGCCCTTTCGAAATCTTCGAAAATATGCATAAATTTACTATCAAAATACGCGGAATTTTACGGAGATTCATAATCTGGCGCTACCTTAAGGCATAGACCTGCGCAGTACGTTCTAGAGCCAGTTTTCTTCGATAGACCGCGCGCGCGGCTCGTTTCTCTATATAGATTTGGACAATTCGCGCATATTTGAGCGAAAAGTGCCCTACGAAATAAGAATTATTTTCAAACGAAAGTTCATTCAAAATGTGTCCCAGAACATATACTTTCCATTACTGGAGCTACCTAATCACGAATGTAAGAGTACAAGAAGCGCAGGCGAAAAAACATCAAATTTTGCGGCAAATTTGTATTGCAAAAGTTGGAAATATGACACGCGAAATATGAGTAGACTTTTTATTAACACTAAGTTTGATATAGTTTAATGATGACAGATTTTCTGAGAAAAGAAAACGGGGTGAAGAAGAAGGTGGTTCGTTGGGCATGTCAGGAAATCCACCTTTTCTTCCTGCCTTATTTTGATTTCTAGCTCACCCCCTTTTTCCCCTCACGCTCCCTTGCTTCTTTCCTTGTCCTCTCCCTCCCTTACTTTATCTATTTCTCCCTCCTTTCCACTTCCTTTCTTCCTTCCACCATTCCTCATTTTCTTCCTTCCTTCCTTCCTCTCTTTCTGCTTTCTTTCTCGCTCCGCCCTTCGGTCGTTGTGTTTCCACGCAATTTCTTATTTCCCCAATTTCCACTTATGTTGATATAACTGTATATTAACACGGAAAATTTTTATATTTGTCAGGTATTAAACAGTTCATCAGGTTTTTCATTTTACGTTACGGACTTGGCTTGTAAATTATTAAGCACAAGGCTTCAGGGGCGTAGAAAGCAACGTGGAGTTTGGGGAGGGGGCACTCCATTATCTAAAAATGGGTACTTTGAAGGTAACTTGGGGGACGGAGATGGGCCTATGCAAGACGTGTAGGCTACCCACATCTTCGCAATGCGTACCTATTTTTTCGCAGTGCCGGGAACAAATTGCTCCATATATGGCTGCGGATCAAAGTCGCTGGAGTCGGAATTTTTCGAATAGAGCATTTCGAATAATTACGTCAATTGGCCTGGGAGCCTCGCTCTCATGAATCGTGAGCCAATCACCTTGTTTAATTTACTAATGAAAGCGAGGTTCCAAGAACCAAAAAATATGTGTGACGCAGTTATCGAAAGGGCGTATTCAATCAGAACAAGACGAATTGTCAAAGAAAAATTGTGGAGCCTGGATTAATTTCATCACGAAAGAACGCGTCGTGGACGAAAACTTGCGAAGGCAGTTCAACAGCAACTTGTATGTTTGCGAGAAGCACTTTAAGAAAGAATAATGCGATTGTCGTAAGTGTATTTTGATTATTTATTGTGTTATATTGCGATATTGTAATCTGTGAAGCCTGTTGTAAAAAAAGCGCATTTTAAGGTAGGCCCTCGATAAATTGAAAACAATGGACCTCTGTTAGTCACCTGTATGCAAATTCTTTCATTTACATTTTCAAATTACTTTCAACTATTATCATATATCATACATGCATGTGAATCTTTCCAAATAAGCCGCGTGATATTAGTGGAAAACTTTACATCTTTACATCTACATTATTTGTAGTTTTTTCAAGCGGACATAACCATACTGTAGTTTATATTTTGGAGCTGTTTGGCGTTTGACGACGAAACAAAAACCTGATTTCCATATATCTTTCTGTTTAAATTTATGTTCAAGCATCGTGTCAAGCTTCATCATTTTAACACTGCATGTCTGCACTGTAAATTAAAAAGGCCAAAACGATCCAAAATTCTGTTTCAGCCCTTTTAAGGCCAAAGCTGTTTTGGACCTATGTGAAAGCCATTTTGGCTTTGGAGAGCTGGATCGCACCCACGAGCCATTTTAGGTATGGAGGAAAGCTAAATTGTCCCTACCCTTTTCCGTAACGAACCCATCATTTTCCAATTTAGCTCCATCAATTGCCAATATGCCCCCACAGATCAAAACGACTCTCGCGTTCGGGTTTGTTTTGGCCCCACATAAAGGGCCGCTTTTGATTAACATATTGGCCCCAACGAGCTTTGTTTTGGCTCTCTGTCGCGGAACGACTCTCGCATAGGTCAAATCGACCATGGAATGAAATCGACCCTTTTGTCGAAACGACCCTTCTGCCAAATCGACTCTTAATTGTGTCAAATTGACCCATCTGTCAAATCGACTCTTAAGAAGCAGTCCGTGTAAAAACCGACCACTCGAATTTCTTAAGATTACAGATTTCCTTCAAACTTTCTGTGTAGAAGAAGTCATTCATAAAATGAACAAAAAACGTTGACTTTGAAATTGTAGTCAGTTTTAAAAAAATTTTTCGCAATTATTTTCGGACGCGTTCGAAAACAAATTAAAACGTAAACACGTTCTACGATAGGGTTGCACATTCTATTTAGCTCAAATTTAGACAAATCTTACGATTTGATGAAGAATTTGCAATAAATGTTGGGAATTTTGGATAAAGGGTGCCAAAAATTGCAAATATCATAACGTCTCCGAGGCTGTGTTGCAATATTTTCAAATGTTCGTTTCATTTAACAAGAAATTTTAAACCAACCGTTTAGACGAAAAGTCTATTTCAACTGCATTGGAGTATGCAAAAGGTATAAACTTATTTTTTATGAGAATGATTACAATTTTCAATAATAATGTCCAGAAAGTTAATTGTTATGTCATGCACAATTCGCACATTTATTGTGTAATTAGCAAACTTTCATAAAACTCTGGATATATTTGAGGAATAACATTCTAAAGTTCATGCCAGTGTCGACATTGGCAAGTTTCTGTGATAAAAATCAAATAGCAATAAAATATTATCCAAACTTTTGTGGGAAGATACACTACTAAGAGGAAATAGGAGTTTTGTTCCATAATCATCAACTTTATATGACCGAGGTATTCCTACTTATCATCAAATTTCATAGACGCAGAGATATTGGGTTGTTAAGTATGTCCAGAGTATGTAGAAATCTATGGAATGGTGTGGCATGCATGCATCCAACAGAACCAAGGTGGTGTTAGTGGCATCCAATCCAAAATGGCGTTGGTGCATCCAACACAAAAATGGTGTTAGACGTTTCCAAAACCAAAATGGTGTTGGACACATCCAAA